TCTTGGCCATTGTGGAGAGGTTGGAGTCTGTTTGATTGAGTGTGTGGACAGGTGTCTTTTATACAGGTAACGATATCAAACAGGTGCAGTTAATACAGGTAATGAGTGGAGAACAGGAGGGCTTCTTAAAGAAAAACGAACAGGTCTGTGAGAGCCAGAATTCTTACTGGTTGGTAGGTGATCAAATACTTATGTCATGCAATAAAATGCAAATTAATTACTTAAAAATCATACAATGTGATTTTCTGGATCTTTGTTTTAGATTCCGTCTCTCACAGTTGAAGTGTACCTATGATAAAAATTACAGACCTCTACATGCTTTGTAAGTAGGAAAACCTGCAAAATTGGCAGTGTATCAAATACTTGTTCTCCCACTGTATGTGACCGACCGGCTCGATTCGGTCTTATGTAGCAAAATTTGAAATTGTGTTTTTTTACATTGGATAAAAGTACAGACTAGAAAATGGTATATCATACACTACAGTTGAGGAACAATGGGAATGTAATTCTGCTTTGAAAGTAGTTAAACTTGTAACCTCACTTTTGAGAAAATGGCCTTTGAATGTTTTGGTACACCTACTGGAGAGCTCTTCTTTGTCTACACCCATTCATCATCGTTCACACCCTCTTAAGCTTTAGCCCCACCCATTTCTTTAAGGGTTGATCCGAGCGTTCTGTCCTAACAACAGCAGTCAAGCACCCAAGCTAAGCACGTTGTCTAGCTTGCTAGCTACTTCCAGACACAAATGAGAGAACAGCTCACTCTGACCATTTTACTCGCCCTAGCAGAGCTGGTTAGGCTGTTTTTATGTTATTCAGAGCATTGGTGACTGCAGCTGTGCTGCTGGCAACAATTTAATTAAAATGTTTTGCCAACGTTTACTGACACCGGCCATATTCAACAGGTGTTGAGCGTTCGTAAATTCGTCAGTTGTTCTGTGCTCTGGCACACTCAGACGAGAGTGCTCTGAAATCGGAGTAGATAGCCAGAGCGAATTTACCAGCTACGTCTGTCAACAGTTGTTGCAGTGACATCATGAACATTCTATTGAAATGGATACTTGCATAGTGGTGTCTTTTGTTAAGACATGTAGCTAGCTAGCTAGCTAAACAATGAACCATAATCCCAACTCATGACGTTACTACCCTGCATGAATCTGCAGGTAGATAACCAACCAGGTTCAATGTTAGCTAGCTAACATTAGGCTATAACTAGCAAAGCAAATGGCTCTGAGATACGAATAATATTACTACACAGATCATACACGTAACGTTAGCTAGCGAGCCAGCCAGCTAATGTTAGCTAGCTAGCTAACAGTACACTTTAACTTGAAATTAAAATGACTTTCTGACAAAATTAGAAACGTGTAATATCTGAAAATGTAGCTAGCTAGACTATCTTACCGGTATACATGGATGGACGCTTCTCTCTCTCTGTCTCTGTCATGGTTGCCCTTACATGTAATCCGGAGACAGGTTTTTTCTCCATCTCCTTAGCTATCATACTCTAATTCCACTGATTTCAAAACTCGGTCCTCCAGAAAGTGGAGAGCAACACTTATGCAGTTCTACTACGCGATATCTTTCATAAAAAGCTGCGTTAGAAAGGATTACCTACACATACAGACCAGCTCAAATAGATAGAAGCACGCTACATGGCAGACCAATCCGAACTCATCTCTTGGCATGTCCAGCCCACTCATTATCTCAGCCAATCATGGCTAGCGGGAAGGTTGCTGTCTTTTTCTTTGGCTAAACCAACTAGGCTCGTAATTTAGCAATGTTATTTGTATTTATAGATGGCATACAAGTTTGTTATTAAGTCACATGAAAGTTCACGTTCCAGAAGGCATTTCTTCCCAAAAACGCATTTTGATTTTTAAAAAAAAGTTTACCTTCAAATGGCTCTCCTGTGAAGTAGTGACGTGCGACATACGCCTAGTTTCCTGAAACGAGTCACATAAACTCCCTTTATTTATTTTTATACCAAACATATTGCTCACCATATGTCTGCTACAGAGGGACAAGAGAGAGCCATGAGAAAACAAGTTTTGATCTCTATTTAAAAAGAAGATGGAGAACAAGCTATGAAGGAAAAATACTGGAGTTTTGCTGCAGGTACAGGCAACTAGCGGAAAAATTATATTGCGATATTGTCAAAACGATACGATACGATATATCGTCAAAAATAATATCCCGATATGTACAGTGCCTTCAGAAAGTATCACACCCCTTTACTGTTTCCACATTTTGTTGTGTTACAGCCTGAATGACAAATGTATCAAATTGAGATTTTGTGTCACTGGCCTACACACAATACCCCATAATGTCAAAGTGGTATTATGTTCTTAGAAATGTTTACAAATTAATAAAAAATGAAAAGCTGAAATGTCTTGAGTCATTAAGTATTCAACCCCTTTGTTATGGCAAGCCTAAATAAGTTCAAGAGTAAAAATGTGCTTAACAAATTACATATTAAGTTGCATGGACTCACTCTGTGTGCAATAATAGTGTTTAACATGATTTTTGAATGACTACCTCATCTCTGTACCCCACACATACAATTATCTGTAAGGTCCCTCAGTCGAACAGTGAATTTCAAACACAGATTCAACCACAAAGATCAGGGAGGTTTTCCAATGACTCGCATAGAAGGGCACCTATTGGTAAATGGGTAAAAAAAAAGCAGACATTGAATATCCCTTTGAGTTGGTGAAGTTATTAATTACACTTTGGATGGTGTATCAATACACTCAGTCACTACAAAGATACAGCCGTCCTTCCTAACTCAGTTGCCGGAGAGGAAGAAACCACTCAAGGATTACACAATGAGGCCAATGGTGACTAAAACAGTTAAGGATGTGATAGGAGAAAACTGAGGATGGATCAACAACATTGTAGTTACTCAAAAATACTAACCTAAATGACAGAGTGAAAAGAAGGAAGCCTGTACAGAATAAAACTATTCCAAAACATGCATCCTGTTTGCAACAAGGTACTAAAGTAAAACTGAAAGAATGTAACTTTATGTCATGAATACAAAGTGTTATGTTTGGGGCAAATCCAACACAACACATCACTGAGTACCACTCTTCATATTTTCAAGCATGGTGGTGGCTCCATCATGTTATGGGTATGCTTGTCTTTAGCAAGGACTATGGAGTTTTTTGGGATAAAAATAAACGGATTAGAGCTAAGCACAGGCAAAATCCTAGAGGAAAACCTGGTTCAGTCTGCTTTCCAACAGACACCGGGAGACAAATTCACCTTTCAGCAGGACAATAACCTAAAACAGAAGGCCAAATATACACTGGAGTTGCTTACCAAGACAACATTTAATTTTCCTGAGTGGCCTAGTTACAGTTTGGACTTAAATTGGCTTGAAAATCTATGGCAAGACTTGAAAATGACTAGCAACCAACTTGACAGAGCTTGAAGAATTAAAAAAAGAATAAAGTTCAAATATTGTACAATCTAGGTGTGCAAAGTTCTTAGAGATTTACCCAGAAAGAAAGGGGATTCTAACATGGGTGTGAATACTTAAGTAAATTAGATATTTCTGTATTTCATGTTCAAAACAATTGCAAACATTTCTAAAAACATGTTTGTACTTTGTCATTATGGGGTGTTGTGTGTAGATGGGTGAGAAAAAAATATATTTAATCCATTTTGAATTCAGGTTGAAACACAACAAAATGTGGAATAAATCAAGGGGTATGAATACTTTCTGAAGGCACTGTATCTGTATCGATTTTTCCCCCCCATCTCTAGTCAGTATCCTACAGAGTAATATAAGAGTGCAATTGCTGAACTAATGTAGATATTCTAAACAAATTGTTTTGATATCTTTCAGGTGTAACAGTTCCATGTAGAAAAAAGCATACTTCACATAATACTTTAGAAGCAGTGTTCTGATAAAATAACAATGTGCAAATATTATACCTTCCTGTATGGTGTCCCGTATAAGACATGTTTGAAGAATACACATGAGCATGGCAGCGTAGATCAGCTCCAGGCCCCTCTCATCATAGATACTGGTCATGAAGGAGCCCGACTTCAGCTCCTATATCCGACCCAGCTCCTATATCACAGAGGGAGGGAGCGAGAGAGAGAAAGACTGTCACCATACAGTCATGGAAGCCAACAGTAAATACACTGTTGAACATAGCCAATCAGAGATCCTGATTCACAGCTAATTCACAAGGGACACGTGCCAGCATGGCACTGACTGGATGGCATTACTCACTCGGGCTCAGGAGTAGGGCATTGGCACAATGGAATGGGGCCCCTCCTTACAACATACAAGACACAGGTGGTTAGGTGAATTCCAGGACATAGTATTTTGACCATTGACCAGATCAAATGTGACAAACCTGATTCAAGTGTCCTCCATTACTTTGAAGCGGGACTGATATCTGGCCACTGCCTCAGCCTTCTGTCACAATTCCTGATATAGTAGGGGGGTTCCTACGACACTGCTGAACAACAAATCCACCAGGTTTTTTACTTAGCCTGTTCATTCAATAAACATATAGCGAGAAAAATAACTTTCTCTAGTTTGGAAGTAATTTATTCGCTAATAGAGGGACTGCAACTACAGAATAGATTCAGGCTGGTGACGCTGACACTGTTACTATGCAACCAGCTGTGTACGTTGGTGAATGCTTGTTGATACATTTTGCTATATGCTGCCAGAGCCATAGCTATATTTGTAGTAGATAAGTACCATCCGTCATTTATTTTTTAGCAAACAAAGCCCCCGAATGCTAGCTAGCTAACTAACTTGCAAATCCCGGTTAGTTATTATATGTTTGTCTGAGTTTAAATAAACGTTACCTAGCCAGTTCGAGTTTAACATTATTGAAAGCAAGCTGGCTACATCCTATGATTAGCTAGCTAGCAAGTGCCTGCCTGTATAGGCCTTTCTCTTGCACAAAGGGGGGTGAAATTGCAGGGGACTTTCTGTGAATGACTGTTTCCGGTTTTTCGCTGCTGCAGTAATGGCAGCTGCTGTACACTACGTGTGCATAAAAAGTAATTTTCCTGTAGAAAATAAACATCAGTCTTTCTTCTAAACTAAGCTAGAGCTGGTTTTATGGCCATTTTTCTATTGCCTACACTTGCTTTTTCAGCCACTGTCACTTAGGAAACCAGCAGGCTGAGACCGGTAGCTAGCTAGCTAGCTAGCTAAGCTAACGTAGGTAGCTAAATATTATAGTAGGCCTAACTTGCTGCCAAAAAGCTTGCTAAGACTATGTACAGTACCTTCAGAAAGTATTCATACCCCTTGACTTATTCTACATTTTGTTGTGATTTTTACACAATACCCAATAACATGTTTTTAGATTTTCTTGCAAATGTATTGAAAATGCAATACAGAAATACTAATTTACATAAGTATTCACACCCCTGAGTCAATACTTTGTAGAAGCACCTTTGGCAGCGATTACAGCTGTGAGTCTTTCTGGGTAAGTCTCTAAGAGCTGTAGTGCCTGTGCTTAGCTCCATTCCGTTTCTTTTTTAACCTGAAAAACTCCCCAGTCCTTAACGATTACAAGCATACCCATAACATGATGCACCCACCACTATGCTTGAAAATGCGGAGAATGGTACTCAGTAATGTGTTGTATTGGATTTGCCATCAACATTTCACTTTGTATTCAGGACAGAAAGTGAATTGCTTTGCCACATTTTTTGCAGTATTACTTTGGTGCCTTGTTGCAAACAGGATGCATGTTTTGGAATATTTGTATTCTGTACAGGCTTCCGTCTTTTCACTCTGTCAATTAGGTTAGTATTGCGGAGTACCTACAATGTCTTTGATCCATCCTCAGTTTTCTCCTATCACAGCCATTCAACTCTGTAACTGTTTTAAAGTCACCATTGGCCTAATGGTAAAATCTCTGAGCGGTTTCCTTCCTCTCCATGCAACTTATTATGTGACTTGTTAAGCACATTTTTACTCCTGAACTTATTTAGGCTTGCCGTATCAAAGGGGTTGAATACTTATTAACTCAAGACATTTCAGCTTTTCATTTTTCATAAATTTTCGAAAAAACGTAATTCCACTTTGACATTATGGGGTATTGTGTGTAGGCCTGTGACAATACATCTCCATTTTTTATTTATTTTTATTCAGGCTGTAACACAGCAAAATGTGGAAAAAGTTAAGGGGTGTGAATACTTTCTGAAGGCACTGTGAATAGCGTACAGTATAAACAATCAAATAAATATATACTGAACAAAAATATAAACGCAACATGTAAAGTGTTGGTCCCATGTTTCATGAAATAAAAGATCCCAGAAATTTTTCATATGCTCAAAAAGCTTATTTCTCTTAAATGTTGTGCACAAATTTGTTTACACCCCTGTTAGTGAGCATTTCTCCTTTGCCAAGATAATCCACCTGGCAGGTGTGGCATATCAAGAAGCTGATTAAACAGCATGATCATTACACAGGTGCACCTTGTGCTGGGGACAATAAAAGGTCACTCTAAAATGTGCAGTTTGTCACACAACACAATGCCACAAATGTCTCAAGTTTTGAGGGATTGGCATGCTGACTGCAGGAATGTCCACCAGAACTGTTGCCAGAGAATTGAATGTTCATTTCTCTACCATAAGCCGCCTCCAACGTCGTTTTAGAGAATTTGGCAGTACGTCCAACTGGCCTCACAACCGCAGACTGCGTGTAACCACGCCAGCCCAGGACCTCCACATCCGGCTTCTTCACCTGCGGGAGGCCATTGGCACATTGGAGAAGTGTGCTCTTCACGGATGAATCCCGGTTTCAACTGTATGGGCAGATGGTGTTGGGTGGCCGAGCGGTTTGATGATGTCAACGTTGTGAACAGAGTGCCCCATGGAGGCAGTGAGGTTATGTTATGGGCAGGCATAAGCTACGCACAATGAACAGAATAGCATTTTATCAATGGCAATTTGAATGCACAGAGATACCGTGACGATATCCTGAGGCCCATTGTCGTGCCACTCATCCGCCGCCATCACCTCATGTTTCAGCATGATAATGCATAGCCCCATGTCGCAAGGATTCCCAGAAGCTGAAAATGTCCCAGTTCTTCCATAGCCAGCATACTCACCAGACATGTCACCCATTGAGCATGTTTGAGATGCTCTGGATTGACGTGTACGACAGCGTGTTCCAGTTCCTGCCAACATCCAGCAACTTCGCACAGCCATTGAAGAGGAGTGGGACAACATTCCACAGGCCACAATCAACAGCCTGATTAACTTTATGCGAAGGAGATGTGTCGCGCTACATGCGGCATGGTCACACCAGATACTGACTGGTTTTCTGATCCTCGCCCCTACCTTTTTTTTAAAGGTATCTGTGACCAACAGATGCATATCTGTATTCCCAGTCATATGAAATCCATAGATTAGGGCCTAATGAATTTATTTCAATTTACTGATTTCCTTATATGAACTGTAACTGTGTTCATATTTTTGTTCAGTTTATATGGTGGATGGCAACCAACTTTAAGGTGCATTGCTCCACAAACTGGACTGAAGTGTGGACCTCGTTCATCTTTCGTAAAAACCAATGAGTAGATGGGAGAGGCGGGACTTGCAGCATGTCAAGCATCTAAAATAGAACCAAGTTATGTTTTAGCGCCTGGCTACGCAGACACCTGTTGACGCGTGCGAGCAGTTTGGATGAAATGATTGAATAACATGTGTGTACATTTATTTTGCAACGCTCACACACGCAACGCGGCTGGTTTGGTCAGTATGTAAGAGCTGTTTGAAAAGACTGCCTGAAATTTCAGCCTGTTTTGGTGGGATGGAGTTTTGGCCTGCCTGGGGACATCACCAGACCAATAAGAAAGCGAGTTCCAACCCTCTCTGCCAATAACAGCTAGACCACTCCCAGACAGTGCTAGCAAAATTCTTGCTTCAGTAATTGCTCTTTGCTAAGAAGCTATTTTTGTTTCTTTTTGACCATTTTAATTGAAAACAATCACAGTAAGGTACTTAATTGTTACCCAGAAATGACTTGATATTGAGATAAAAATGGCTGCATTGGACCTTTAACTAAAGTATAAAGACATATTTGATAGTGCAGAGCAATGTACATGCCACTTTGGGAGTCTTATAACGGTATGTGTTTTCCTCACAGATTATGCCGGTGGAGGGTCCCTGTATGACTACCTGTCCAGTGCAGAGAGTGAGGAGATGGACCTGGGACAGGTTATGACTTGGGCCATGGAGATTGCCAAAGGTACAGTGATCATTCATTGTTTTAGCTCCTTTAAACCAGGCAATGGTACATCTTGTTGTGGAATTTTTGCATAGCCATTTGACTAAACTAAAACACTGACTGAGATTCCACATTTGTTTTAGCTCATTAGCAACTCAGCAGTAGAATATATTTCAGATATGCCCGCTCATGGTCTATTCCAACTCATTGTTATTCTAGGCATATGTTTCTAAGAATACGGTCTCATTGAGAACAAGTGAAGTCAAAACATGTAGGCCTACATATGATTAATCTGTGTCCCTAGTCTACATAAGTAATGGGCATTGTGAGGAAGGCATGGATGAGGCAGATGAACACAGACTTGTTTATATCAGCCAGGTTGCCCATTGATCGGTCAGAGGAAATGTGCTTTATTTCCCCATCAGGCATGCACTATTTACACTCAGAGGCCCCAGTCAAGGTTATCCACAGAGACCTGAAGTCCAGGAATGGTAAAATTTCAGATTAATCTGCATGATCTAGCCTTCTGTTAGGTGTCTGAGTCTATACAAAAGACACCTCTGTTCTAACGGTTTACGTACAGTGGGGAGAACAAGTATTTGATACACTGCCGATTTTGCAGGTTTTCCTACTTACAAAGCATGTAGAGGTCTGTAATTTGTATCATAGGTACACTTCAACTGTGAGAGACGGAATCTAAAACAAAAATCCAGAAAATCACATTGTATGATTTTTAAGTAATTAATTAGCATTTTATTGCATGACAAGTATTTGATCACCTACCAACCAGTAAGAATTCCGGCTCTCACAGACCTGTTAGTTTTTCTTTAAGAAGCCCTCCTGTTCTCCACTCATTACCTGTATTAACTGCACCTGTTTGAACTCGTTACCTGTATAAAAGACACCTGTCCACACACTCAATCAAACAGACTCCAACCTCTCCACAATGTCCAAGACCAGAGAGCTGTGTAAGGACATCAGGGATAAAATTGTAGACCTGCACAAGGCTGGGATGGGCTACAGGACAATAGGCAAGCAGCTTGGTGAGAAGGCAACAACTGTTGGCGCAATTATTAGAAAATGGAAGAAGTTCATGATGACGGTCAATCACCCTCGGTCTGGGGCTCCATGCAAGATCTCACCTCGTGGGGCATCAATGATCATGAGGAAGGTGAGGGATCAGCCCAGAACTACACGGCAGGACCTGGTCAATGACCTGAAGAGAGCTGGGAATGGGAGAAGGTCATGTGGTCTGATGAGACAAAAATAGAGCTTTTTGGTCTAAACTCCACTCGTAGTGTTTGGAGGAAGAAGAAGGATGAGTACAACCCCAAGAACACCATCCCAACCGTGAAGAATGGAGGTGGAAACATCATTCTTTGGGGATGCTTTTTGCAAAGGGGACAGGACGACTGCACCGTATTGAGAGGAGGATGGATGGGGCCATGTATCACGAGATCTTGGCCAACAACCTCCTTCCCTCAGTAAGAGCATTGAAGATGGGTCGTGGCTGGGTCTTCCAGCATGACAACGACCCGAAACACACAGCCAGGGCAACTAAGGAGTGGCTCCATAAGAAGCATCTCAAGGTCCTGGAGTGGCCTAGCCAGTCTCCAGACCTGAACCCAATAGAAAATCTTTGGAGGGAGCTGAAAATCCGTATTGCCCAGCGACAGCCCCGAAACCTGAAGGATCTGGAGAAGGTCTGTATGGAGGAGTGGGCCAAAATCCCTGCTGCAGTGTGTGCAAACCTGGTCAAGACCTACAGGAAACGTATGATCTCTGTAATTGCAAACGAAGGTTTCTGTACCAAATATTAAGTTCTGCTTTTCTGATGTATCAAATACTTATGTCATGCAATAAAATGCAAATTAATTACTTAAAAATCATACAATGTGATTTTCTGGATTTTTGTTTTAGATTCCGTCTCTCACAGTTGAAGTGTACCTATGATAAAAATTACAGACCTCTACATGCTTTGTAAGTAGGAAAACCTGCAAAATCGGCAGTGTATCAAATACTTGTTCTCCCCACTGTATATAGCCAGAGGCAAATATTACTAAAGCTGAATTAGAAGAAAACTGAATATACATAGTTTTCCAGACTTGAAAAACATGTTTTCTATTGCAGTGGTTGTGACGGCAGACAAAGTTCTTAAGGTACATTTGTTTGCACATTCCTGAATGCATGGGATCTAACGTTTGCATACTGGTTTCACCCAAATCCTTTTTATCCCAACCCTTGCTAAATCCCGGGCCTTCACCAGTACCTGTTTCCCTGTGTAGATCTGTGATTTTGGGGCGTCCCGGTTCCACTCCCACACCACACACATGTCCCTGGTGGGCACGTTCCCCTGGATGGCCCCGGAGGTCATCCAGAGCCTGCCAGTGTCTGAGACCTGTGACACCTATTCCTACGGCGTGGTGAGTGACCAACACATAGGACACACACTGACCACAGATCAGCTGTTGATACTCAATCCAATAGTTACTGAGAATGGGCTATTTTTCTCAAGCTGATTCTGCAAGACAATCTGCTTGTGATGTTCATATGTATCGGCTCATCCATATACTTTTATTTACTAAGTACAGAAACCATCAGAGAGAAACTTGTTTGACTAGGGACTGAACCAGCTTGGTAAGGAAGTTGCTTAGTTTGTAGAGGAAGCCAAATAACAAGTATGGTTAAGAAATAGCTCTAATGTCGCTGTTGCTACTGCATGGCTGAGAAAGTAAACTGTCAATCAACCAGTACCTAGCACTTGAAAGAACAGACTTTCAGAGATGACATTTTCATGCATTCATTACTGCCTCTGGAAAAGTAGTCGTGAGCTGCATTATTGACCTTTGTAGAAGTGCTAGCAGCAATTCCATACGTTTTCTGCCACATTTCTATCACCATTAGAAGATGGAATCTGTCATCCCTGAGTAGAGAGAGAATTTGAAGCCTGGGCATATTTCAGTGTGTGTGTGTGCATGCGTATGGCGTGTGTGTGTGCATCCATGTGTCTGTGCATGGCCGTGCGTGACTGTTTGTGTATCTGCCTGTCTGCGTGTGTGACTGCTCGGCTATATTCCTGGTGACGGAGAAGGTGTGAAGTGTAGAGTGACAGAGCATATAGGGGACGCTCTGAGTCACCCAGCCAATCAAGGGCCTGACTCCTGAGTGCCATAAAGAGTCAGTGAACAAACAGAGCAGGGCCTGAGGTCAGGCCAGCCAGCGTCTGGGTCAACACACTGTTCTCTATCGCAATCCACTTACACTGGGGTTTATTTACCACACACAATGTAATTTACTGTATTGTTATAAATGTGTATTATGTGTAGTGATTTGTATGATGTGTAGTGATTTGTATGATTGTATGATTTGTATGGTTTTTTGCTCTCCTAATATGGTAACTAATGTATAACTAAAGTCTTAGTCTGTGTTGTATCTCAGTTCAGTGGAAGACTGACCACACCATGCAGTCTGTGGTGTAGATGAGTCTTTCTATAAATAATGGGGCCAATGTGTGACATTGGATCAACATTTCAAAATGGTTTGAAACAAAAATAAAAAGGACTTTCATGCAGTTCCACATGTGCACTTAGAGGAATAAAAGTGAATTTATGCAAATGGTCCCATAACTCCACCTATTCAACAACATAGGCCTAGGACTATACATCATTTAAGCTGGGTTCATACAGACATTGGCAAGTGAAATTCTAAGACTTTCAGGGACTTTTTCAAGCACTTAATTGTATTTCAAGGATCTCAATGTTATACAATTGTATATTTTATATAATTGTACATATGGGCCTGATATAGAACCCCCCCCTCCCCCCAAAAGTGTCAAAAAAGTAGGCCATTACCACTTTAAGAATAATGATTTTTTTTAGGCCTTGTCAATGCATTGGTATTCTAAAATATGTGAGAATAATGTGGACATTGCCTGACTAAATAGATTGGATGCATGCATGGTGATTTTTCTGTAGCCTGTGTGGTCGATGCAGGCACACATAATAAAGCCATGAATAGCGGTAGCATTAATCTCACCATTTGAATCTCACCATCGCTGTTTTTATAATGAGAAAGTGACCAAAAACCAGGTTCATTTTTGAATGAAGGATTTGTATGGAAAGACAAGTTGAAGCCAACATTAGATGTCGTCCTCATAATAACCGCACATGGTTTTACCGCAACAGAGTAGCGCAACGCCCTTCAATTGAAATGGCGGGAAACAAACGAAAGTGGCCACATCTCTCACAAAAATGTATCAAAAATGAAATCACAGATAATGATAAGGGAGTAGGAAACTTATAAATTGCCTACAATAATTAGAAAAACTTTTCAAGCACCAAATTGAGGAAATGTCTGATTTTCAAGGTAGGCCTATTCCAGTAGCCTACTTGAATTTTTGAGCTCCAAATTCAAGTTCAAGTAGTCCTCGTATCGTTTAAAAATGCAGGTCTAACATGGAAAACAAAATGTATTTGTCATGTTATTTCATTACCAGATTATATTGTGAATAAGCCCACAAGGCTATGTACAGTCATTTGTTGTCATTATAAATAGGGTGTACTCCCGAGTGGCTGGATAAGAGCGTCTGCTAAATGACTCAAATGTAAATGTAAAGAATGAGACACAAAAATATTCTGGACATTCCTCGCAAACACCTTTTTTTCCAGCACTTAGCGCATGTGATGCAACAACAGCCTATCACAACAGCTGTTCGCCACTTGACTGTCATTCAGAAAATTCCTTCCTGGGTCAGATGATGATATGTGGAAATATCAAGGCATAACTATTCAGCTGGACACCAAATGCACATCCAACATGTAATATGCATAATTATTGAAGAACCACGTTAATAACAGTATAGATTTAGGTTTTAAGTATTAAGTTAAGGTGACTTTCGGTTAGACGCATTCGATTTTGCAATGCATTTGGATTTGTGTGCCCATGAAAACTGTTTTCACCCCATAATATAAGGAGACACAAAATGTTATGTAGTTACACTGTATTTCTGAGATCTCTATACAAAAAACTGTCCGAGAGCTTAACTGATTAATATATGATATAACAACAACTTACACTGCCATAAATGCAAGGACAGAAAAGTTATGTTTTAAGTCGCACGATTTTAAACAAATCTGTCAAGACACCAACCATGATAAAGGGTTAAACATAGGTTTTAAATCAACTCGTGATTTTTTTTGAAAATACACTGCTCAAAAAAATTAAGGGAACACTTAAACAACACAATGTAACTCAAGTGAATCACACTTCTGTGAAATCAAACTGTCCACTTAGGAAGCAACACTGATTGACAATAAATGTCACATGCTGTTGGGCAAATGGAATAGACAACAGGTGGAAATTATAGGCAATTAGCAAGACACCCCCAATAAAGGACTGGTTTTGCAGGTGGTGACCACAGACTACTTCTCAGTTCCTATGCTTCCTGGCTGATGTTTTGGTCACTTTTGAATGCTGGCGGTGCTTTCACTCTAGTGGTAGCATGAGACGGAGTCTACAACCCACACAAGTGGCTCAGGTAGTGCAGCTCATCCAGGATGGCACATCAATGCGAGCTGTGGCAAGAAGGTTTGCTGTGTCTGTCAGCGTAGTGTCCAGAGCATGGAGGCGCTACCAGGAGACAGGCCAGTACATCAGGAGACGTGGAGGAGGCCGTAGGAGGGCAACAACCCAGCAGCAGGACTGCTACCTCCGCCTTTGTGCAAGGAGGAGCAGGAGGAGCACTGCCAGAGCCCTGCAAAATGACCTCCAGCAGGCCACAAATGTGCATGTGTCTGCTCAAACGGTCAGAAACAGACTCCATGAGGGTGGTATGAGGGCCTGACGTCCACAGGTGGGGGTTGTGCTTACAGCCCAACACCGTGCAGGACGTTTGGCATTTGCCAGAGAACACCAAGATTGGCAAATTTGCCACTGGCGCCCTGTGCTCTTCACAGATGAAAGCAGGTTCACACTGAGCACATGTGACAGACGTGACAGAGTCTGGAGACGCCGTGGAGAACGTTCTGCTGCCTGCAACATCCTCCAGCATGACCGGTTTGGCAGTGGGTCAGTCATGGTGTGGGGTGGCATTTCTTTGGGGGGCCGCACAGCCCTCCATGTGCTCGCCAGAGGTAGCCTGACTGCCATTAGGTACTGAGATGAGATCCTCAGACCCCTTGTGAGACCATATGCTGGTGCGGTTGGCCCTGGGTTCCTCCTAATGCAAGACAATGCTAGACCTCATGTGGCTGGAGTGTGTCAGCAGTTCCTGCAAGAGGAAGGCATTGATACTATGGACTGGCCCGCCCGTTCCCCAGACCTGAATCCAATTGAGCACATCTGGGACATCATGTGTCGCTCCATCCACCAACGCCACGTTGCACCACAGACTGTCCAGGAGTTGGCGGATGCTTTAGTCCAGGTCTGGGAGGAGATCCCTCAGGAGACCATCCGCCACCTCATCAGGAGCATGCCCAGGCGTTGTAGGGAGGTCATACAGGCACGTGGAGGCCACACACACTACTGAGCCTCATTTTGACTTGTTTTAAGGACATTACATCAAAGTTGGATCAGCCTGTAGTGTGGTTTTCCACTTTAATTTTGAGGGTGACTCCAAATCCAGACCTCCATGGGTTGATACATTTGATTTCCATTGATAATTATTGTGTGATTTTGTTGTCAGCACATTCAACTATGTAAAGAAAAAAGTATTTAATAAGATTATTTCATTCATTCAGATCTAGGATGTGTTATTTTAGTGTTCCCTTAATTTCTTTGAGCAGTGTAGTTATGATCCCCGCTTATATCTTAATCAGAGGAGGCTCTTTAGAGGAGGACCATCCTCAGTGAATTTCATAAAAATAAAAATAGTGAAACATACTTTTATCCTTTTTAGATAAAAGTATACAAAATATATTTACATGCCACCAAATAATTAATTAAAACTCACTGTTTTGCAATGAAGATCTACAGTAGACTCAACAGCACACTGTAGGGTAACACCATGGTGTAGCCGGAGGACAAATCGTTTCTGGGTATATTGACATCAATACAAAACCTAGGAGGCTCATGGTTCTCACCCCCTTCCATAGACTTACACAGTAATTATGTCAAATTCCAGAGGATGTCCTCCAACCTATCAGAATTCTTGCAGCATGAACTGACATGTTGTCCACCCAGTCAAAGGATCAGATAATCTGTTGCTGAAAGCATAAGCTACAGCTAGCTAGCACTTCAGTGCATAAAATGTGGTGAGTAGTTGACTCAAAGAGAGAGAAAGACAATAGTTGAATCGTTTTGAACAAATTAATTTCTTCAAAAATGATGGAGAAGCCAAGAGAGAGAGAGATTTCCTTGTATTTCTTTCACTTTCCCTTACTTATCTAGCGAATGCAGCTAACTAGATTAGCCTACTCAAACACCCGGCTCAAACAGAGAGGGATGCTATGTTAGCTACCTGGCTTTGGCTATCCAATACTGGAACTCTTCCAAGTCAAGGTAAGCTTTTGGTTTTATGAATTTATTGCGACCGGGCCATCAGTGTAACTGCTAAACTGCTTGCTGTCTGTACACTGTACTGCATGATAGTAGAGCGTTTACTAACTCGTTAGTTCTATTAGCTATGTTGACTATGACGTTAGCTAATATGGTGACAGGCTGTAGGCTGTATGTAGAGGTTAGCAGTTATGATATGAAGGTTTGGCTGGGAAAGGTTTTATCGCCTGGTCACAGACAGCTGATGTGTTGTGCACTGAAGTCCACATGCGAAGGGAAAAGTTGAGAGGAGGAGAGCACGTAGATGAGAGAAGGAATTATACAATGAGCAAAGTGATCATTCTGTTTGTATGTGGCTACTATGAAAGTGAACTGTTTTTGCGTGTGATTCAAATAAAATAAAATTATATTTGTCACATACACGTGTTTAGCAGATGTTATTGCGGGTGTAACGAAATGCTTGTGCTTCTAGCTCCGACAGTGCAGTAATATCTAACATGTAAAATCTAACAATATATACAACATATACCCAATACACACAAATCTAGTAAGGAATGGAATTTAAGAATATATACATATATTGACAAGCAATGACAGAGCGGCATGGACTAGAATATTATAGAATAGAATACAGTATATACAAATGAGATGAGTAGTGCAAGATATGTAAACATTATTAAAGTGACTAGTGTTCCATTTCTGAAAGTGGCCAGTGATTTCAATAGGCAGCAGCAGCCTATAATGTGCTAGTGATGGGTATTTAACAGTCTGATGGACTTGAGATAGAAGCTGTTTTTCATTCTCACGGTCCCAGCTTTGATGCACCTGTATTGACCTTGCCTTCTGGATGATAGTGGGGTGAACAGGCAGTGGCTCGGGTGGTTGATGTCATTGGTGATCTTTTTGGCCTTCCTGTGACATTGGGTGCTGTAGGTGTCTTGGAGGGCGGGTAGTTTGCCCCCGGTAATGCGTTCGGCAGACTGCACCACCCTCTGGAGAGCCCTGCAGTTGCGGGCGGTGCAGTTGCCGTACCAGGCAGTGATACAGCCGACAGGATGCTCTCAATTGTGCATCTGTAAAAGTTTGTGAGGGTTCTGGTGCCAAGCCAAATGTCTTCAGCCTCCTGAGGTTGAAGAGGCTCTGTTGCGCCTTCTTCACCACACTGTCTGGATCATTTCAGTTTGTCAGTGATGTGTACGCCAAGGAACTTGAAGATTTTTACCTTCTCCACTGCAGTCCCATCGATGTGGATAGGGGGGGTGCACCCTCTGCTGTTTCCTGAAGTCCACAATCATCTCCTTTGTTTTGTTGACGTTGAGTGAAAGGTTATTTTCCTGGCACCACATTAGGGGTGTCTTCATGCTGCCGATTCTGTTGAAAAACGTTTCTTAAAACATTTTACATTACATTTACATTTTAGTCATTTAGCAGACGCTCTTATCCAGAGCGACTTACAGTTAGTGAGTGCATACATTATTATTTTTTATTTTTTATTTTTTCATACTGGGAATCGAACCCACAACCCTGGCGTTGCAAACGCCATGCTCTACCAACTGAGCTACATCCCTGCCGGCCATTCCCTCCCCTACCCTGGACGACGCCGGGCCAATTCGCCCCATGGGACTCTCGGTCACGGCCGGCTACGACAGAGCCTGGATTCGAACCAGGATCTCTAGTGGCACAGCTAGCATTGCGATGCAGCGCCTTAGACCGGAAGCAAACGTAACAAAATGGGGATAAACATACCTGAATTTGTCCAATAGAAACTCTTATTTGCAACTGTTGGACCAATGATTACACCCTAGATCAGCTACATGCAGGCAAGAGTGTGCAAGGTGGTATTGAATGTGTCACTGTTTGTCACCTTGATTACTCAAATTTATCTCGACCTGTGCACCTACTCAAATTTAATTAATAGGCTAGGTTATACCAACCTCATGATGGGTATAGGGAAAATTGGAGTATCATGTAGTAGCCTATACCTAACGATGGTACATTGAGCTGGGTGAATGGAATATGAATGACAGTATGCTGTAATAGAAATAAGGCCATGCTCATAAAAAAAGAATCGTCCTCCCTCAACTTAAACGGCACCGACCGCCACTGATCTTAATGTAATGACATGAAGAAAATTGACAGATTATTATCAATGACTTATCAACAGCAGTAATAAATTATCCAGTGTAGGAAATCCTCACTGGTACCCTAGTTTATAGAAAGACTTAGATGCATTTGCTCGTTGACTGACCATGACCCTTCTCGTTTCCCTGTGTCAGGTTCTGTGGGAGATGCTCACCCGGGAGATTCCCTTTAAAGGCCTGGAGGGTTTACAAGTCGCCTGGCTGGTGGTGGAGAAGAGTGAGGTACAGCTTCACTTCCTTTTTCCTTTTTCCTCATTATGCAGTCTTCTAGGAACAGATTGACTGTAGATGGATTGGAGCTTCCTCTATCTATGCTAATAGATGTTGTGAAGAGACAGATTCCTGACAGTTTTTCTTAATGAGCCAGTGTATCTTTACAGGAATCATTTCAGTCATCACACACCAGTATAGCTAGTTGGGGATCGTCATATGGGCCTAAGCCAATTGATCCCACTCATGCAAAATCTGCATTCTCAGAACGGAGTTGAGACGCTTGTTGACTATATGGACATCTCTTGCATGTCTCACTCACCAGGTCTCCTGTCACATAAGTCATCCATATATTTGATCTGACCTCAGAACTGAAAGCTGAGACTACAGCAATCCTTTCAGTGAGTGTGTGTGTGACTGTGTCTGTCTGTTCCAGAGGTTAACCATTCCCAGTAGCTGCCCAGCCAGTTTCGCTGAGCTGATGATGAAGTGCTGGGTGACTGAGCCCAAGGTACGACATCCTCACGCACACAGAGATCCTATTAAATTATATGTAATTTGATGCTAACGCACACATACAAACTCACACATAGCCACTGTGCACAATAGACTCAGCACACAAGTCAGTACTACAGTGGATAATACTAATGAGTTATGTTATGTTACATACAGTTACGAGGCCAGTCCAATAGTCATGAATAGATAGATATACTACATGTCTGCTTATGAATATCACACTTTTTTGTTTCGTTTCCATCTAGGAAAGACCAATGTTCAAACATATCCTTACAACCCTGGAGTCCATGTCCAATGACAGCAAGCTTCCCGAACAGTGCAACTCCTTCCTACACAACAAGGCAGAATGGAGGTACTGAGATCATACTGTACGACTGCAATCCTCTCTATCTCTTCTAGACAAACACTGCTAGAGTCTAAGGATATGCCAGAACTGTTTCAAATCAATAGGCCCGTCTATGTGCAAGTGCTGCTTTTGTGGGCCACTAAATGTATGAAGGGATTTTGGGAGTGTGCATACAGATCTTTTATAATTGCACTGATAACATAAAGGCATCAAATATCTAAAGAATCCCCCATCTGGATCTCCTTCCTCTCTATACCCATAAGGTCTAAAAAATAATCAACATCTTTTTCAAGTCCAAGTGTTTAATTGGCCTGTATGAGCAGCTGGAGGATTAGTGGTGTTCAGCACAGCCTGGGTGTCAGCTGCTACTGATTTCTCTCTCTTTGGGCTTTTCTACGCTCACAACTCTTCATAGAGACGTGTCCAAGCAGGCATCTGCAAGTGAGCTGCTCAGTAGTGAGAGTCGATCAGGAACATGTGCGTTAGAGAGAGGGAAGTGTTGCACACCAAGGACAGTAGTAGTAGCTAGCTAGTAAGAAACAGGAGAAGAGTGGAATGGTGCGGCCTGAGCTCCTCTTGCATCAGAGGCAAACGTGTTGCAGGAGCGGTGTGTTATAGTTTCTCATTACCCTGGTCAGAAGGGAGTCCCTGTGCAGACAGATGCTGTTTGCTGACTGGGCTGGACCACCACAGGTTTGGGATACAGTCTGCCAGCAACGGTGTATTTATCCATGGTTCTACTACTAGGTATGGTACATACAGGGTGGCAGGTAGCCTAGCAGTTAGAGCTTTGGGCCAAGGTCGCTTGTTCGAATCCCAGAGCAGAGAAGATGAAAAATCTGTCGATGCGCTCTTGAGCAAGGCACTTAACCCTAATTGCTCCAGGTTCGCCATTTAGTAATGGCTGACCCTGGCCATGACCCCACTCTTCCAATTCACACATGCATATAATACAAACTTGTACATGTGTGAAATAGGACAAATATAATCACCCACCAAATTATTATAATAAGCAACTGTCCCACTGATGAAGGCTCAAAGGTATTGTCAATTCTGGCGCTTGGAAACAAGTGTTACAGTAAAACCAGGAGTATGTCTCCTGTATTTGCGTCACAGGAGGTTGGTGGCACCTTAATTGGGGAGAATGGGCTCGTGGTAATGACTGGAGCGGAATGGTATCAAATACATCAAACGCATGGTTTCCAGGTGTTTGATGCCATTCCATTTGCGCCGTTCTGGCCTCCACTGATTTGCATGGCTCCTGGTGTTGGCTATGTTAAATCTGGCCTCATGCTATGTTTCTTCTCTCTTATCAGACTGTTAGTCCAGTGAACAGTGGCTGTCTGTCTCATTAGCCATCAATGCACTCATTTGTGTAATAGTGTCAGTTAGAAGCTGCTCACTGCTCTGTAAGGATGGCTCTGAGGGCTCTTGTTGCAGTCTATATTAAGGCAGTTTGCACATGGTCCAGTAGAGCATGAAGAGACTCCTCTTTTCGCTGTTTCTCTGGCACCTGTCTGGATCAGGGAGGAGGAGCAGAGAGGGGGAGTTAGTTGGGGAGGGAAAGAAAGGGCGAGTTAGAGTGCTGGGGGAGGAAATGTGAGAGGTATTAGAAAAACCTGTATACGAGCAGGGTAGGAGGACGAGAAATACAGAGTGTTTGTCTGGAAAAGCGACAAGCAAGAGAATCAATTATGAGGGAAGTTTCGAGCATTAGTGGAAAGTCTTTGAGGCAGGGATGGGAGGGGGGAGGGGAGGGGAGGAGTGCGAGGACTGTGTGGATGCAGGAACATGGCAGGAGTTCCTGTCTGTGTCACATGCCTGTTTATAAGTAGTTACTTTGAGAGCCGATTGTCTTGGCCTCTGACTCAGCATGGCTACCCACGGTGCAACACACAGCCCAACACACAGCCCAACTTGCTAGACAAAGCAGACCAGACCATTCAGTAGGTAAACTGCATTAGCAAATACACTGGAAGATAAGTGTTCCTCTACTGTCTGTGGCCTTAGGGCTGTTACTAAAAGGGCAGAATCCAAACTTGAGAAACACATGCATAACTCTGAACTTTTGTGTATATTGCATGGATGTCAGTGAGAGATATGAGTTGGAATTTGAGTTAAGCACAATACCTCAAGTCAACGGTTAAACACCAGTATTATAAGTGCAGAGTTGTATGTGATGAGGTGGATGATGTTGGTTACTAAACACATCAGGGGTGTCATACCCTAGCTCAAGACCAAAACTGTAAAGTAGGCAACAACAAAAAAAGTAGACTAAAATCATTCTAATCCCGATTAAAATGCAACGGCTGTTTACTGTAATGGCTGGCTGGAGGGCTTTAGGACCATGCGGAGCATCACTCGGAGAGCAGCTGCCAGCCTGCAGCCTTTTCTCTCACTTTTAGAAAGCAGAGACAGTGAGAGTTTGCTTTGCCTGTCAGCCGTTTAGGCAGTGGGCTGATTGGTTTGAATTTGATGTCGGCATTTGAACTCTGCCTTTTAAACCTTGTTGTAATCTGATAACCAGGGATTAATTGAATTGGGAATTGGGAGGTGGGGGAGCCCTCCTTTTTGGTCACCATTTGCAACCAAAAGCTATACTGAACAAAAATATAAACGCAACATGCAACAATTCAAAGATTTTACTGAGTTACAGTTCATATAAGGAAATCAGTCAATTGAAATAAATTAATTAGGCCCTAATCTATGGATTCCACATAACTGGAAATACAGATATACATCTGTTTGTCATAGATACCTTTAAAAAAAGTAGGGATTGGATCAGAAAACCAGTCAGTATCTGGTGTGACCACTTTTTGCCTCTTGCAGCGTGACACATCTCCTTCGCATAGAGTTCATCAGGCTGTTGATTGTGGCCTGTGGAATGTTGTCCCACTCCTCTTCAATGGCTGTGCGTAGTTGCTGGATATTGGCGGGAACTGGAACACGCTGACGTACACGTCGATCCAGAGCGTCCCAAACATGCTCAATGGGTGACATGTCTGGTGAGTATGCAGGCCATTAAAGAACTGGGACATTTTCAGCTTCCAGGAATTGTGTACACAGATCCTTGCGACATGGGGCCGTGCATTATCATGCTGAAACATGAGGTGATGGTGGTGGATGAATGGCTTGACAATGGGCTTCAGCATCTCGTCACGGTATCTCTGTGCATTCAAATTGCCATCGATAAAATGCAATTGTGTTTGTTGTCCGTAGCTTATGTCTGCTATCTTCCCGGTACAGTTGAAACCGGGATTCATCCGTGAAGAGCACACTTCTCCAGCGTGCCAGTGGCCATTGAAGGTAAACATTTGCCCACCTGAGACACCGAACTGCAGTCGGGTCAAGACCCTGGTGAAGACGATGAGCATGCAGATGAGCTTCCCTGAGACTGTTTCTGACAGTTTATGCAGAAATTATTCGGTTGTGCAAACCCACAGTTTCATCAGCTGTCCAGGTGGCTGGTCTCAGACGATCCCGCAGGTGAAGAAGCCAGATGTGGAGGACTTGGGCTGGGCTGGGCTTCTCTAAAACTATGTTGGAGGCGGCTTATGGTAGAGAAATGAACATTCAATTCTCTGGCAACAGCTCTGGTGGACATTCCTGCAGTCAGCATGCCAATTGCAGGCTCCCTCAAAACTTGAGACAGCTGTGGCATTGTGTTGTGTGACAAAACTGCATATTTTAGAGTGGCCTTTTATTGTCCCCAGCACAAGATGCACCTGTGTAATGATTATGCTGTTTAATCAGCTTCCTGATATCCCACACCTTTCAGGTGGATGGATTATCTTGGCAAAGGAGAAATGCTCACTAACAGGGAGGTAAACCAATTTCTGCATAAAATTAGAGAGAAATAAGGTTTTTGTGCGTATGGAAAAATTTTCTACTTCATCATCATCTTCTGCCTGCATCCCTAATCCCTACGTGTCTCTGATATAATGCATTTCCACCTCTCAGTCTATCAGTCTAGTTTGTCCATCTTCCTGAATTAAAAAGTAGATATTCTAACAGATCAATCTTGCTTGCAAAACGTCATTAAATATTGCGAAGTTATTTAGCTATAGTCAGTGCTTGACTTGGGCAGGAGCTCACCGGAGCTGAGTACCGGCACCTACACCTCTTTTAGAATATTAGCTGAAAAGTATTGTGGAGCTCCTGCACCTAAATATAAACAGTAGTGGCACCCAAAATGAGTACCGGCACCTATTTCAGTCCAAGTCAAGTACTGGCTATAGTGTAGATGTAGGGCTGTTTATTTTATTTATTCAGAATGAGCATTCAGATAGTGCAACTGCTGTGTAGGCAACACAATAATATCAGACAGAGATAAGCTGGTCCGGGGAAGAAATGTTCTCGGGCCAACCCCTCGTTGGCTACTATGCTGCAATATTAATATTCCGGAGCCACCTTGTTGATAAAAAATGTTTCAATATTCTCTGAGCAGCCTTGTTGATACAATGCTTCAATATTCACCGAATATTTCCCTTCCCTGGCGAATAATGCAGACAGCAAATGCAAAAATGTGCTGGGCCACACACATTACGAGGCAATCAGAAGAAAATTGGACTACCTGAAATAAAATAGTTTATATCCGCGTCAGCTGTTTTATGCCCCGGTTACTTTCAACGTTGATGTCGGCATTTGAAGTCGGCCTGGTTTTGACTTTATAACGTATATTATGCATCTATTTATAATAATAAATAATAATAATAATAATAATTACATCTATTTCATGTTGCACTGTATGCGCCGTTCCACAAGTAAATTAGTCAATTTATGATGAGGTTGAGTTGATTAGTGGTTGACATTGTAGACACCGTTCCACAGACCTTTAAACCTAATATTGCGGTAATAATTAATGGCTGGGGTCGTTTTGTTTTTGCTGTTCTCCAAATAGCATTTGAGAGTTTTTAAATGATGTAGAAATGCAGTATCGCTCACCCCACCCCACTTTGTCATACCCTAGGTTTAGCTGAACTGACACCACTCAAACACATCCCTATGCTGTATGTACTGTAGATGTGAGATCGAGGCCACACTGGAGAGACTGAAGAAGCTGGAGAGGGATCTGAGCACCAAAGAGCAGGAACTGAAGGAGAGAGAACAACGCCTGAAAATGTGGGAGCGCAAGCTCGTCGAGCAGTCCAACACCCCGGTAAGTTCCTCAGTAGCCTATACCACCTGCACACCACCAACACCCTCAGCACAACCACAACCCCCACACACTGTCTAGTCACTGAACGTGAACAGCACCCCACCTTCACTGTGTTGGTCCATGTGTCACGGCCCACGGTCCTGTCCACATTGTCACAAGGGGAAGCAAAGAATTAACTTTACTTCAGACCGGGGTCTGTCTGGAATGAAGGGGAATGGAATGGAGGGAAAATATAAAAATAAGGCTAGGTTCACTGAGTCTCACTGATGGGTGGTTGTGTTGAGTAGAGGCATTAGCTCATTCTGCTACTCTGTGTGTGGCTATGTCATTGAGCTCCCATTGGCCATCAGTGATAATTAGAGGTCAGTGTAATTTTAACGTTGGTAATGCCAATGTTGTCACGCAGATATAGGAGTCTTCGCTGCTTGTGTGTATTTGCTTATACTACCCTTTCTATGTGAAGCTTCCAAAGGGACACCCCACTAGGCCTTGGCTTCCTGTTTCTGTTATTGCTTTGGCATGCAACACATTTAACCTAAATATTACCTTTCTAGTTGGATTTATTGCTTGGATTTGGTTTCCACACTTCCACATTGTAGCACTAATACTTTGTGATGCACTGCACTAGATCCTTTGTTATGTCCATTGTATAATTGCATTCTACAGCCATGCATTGGGAATGTCTTACAGTGCTTTGCCTTGGTATACATTTGACATTAGTTTAAATTGATACATGTACTGATGTATTGGGTAAGAATCAGCAGCGTCATCCTGAGAGATGTGACCATGTTAGCTATCTCTTTATTATTCATTTTCTCCTTCCTTAATCTGTCCTGTAGACTCCAATCGTTTCAGTCCAACCTTCTCTGATAATCCAATTTAGTATATCTCTGAACTATACTCTTCTAGTGTTTGACAATCACCTTTTATATTGGGTAAAAAAGTATTTCACATTGAATAATTCGTCTTGGTGTATGTGGTCTAAGACTGAGTTCCTTCCCTCCTTTTCTTTCCTGTCCTCTTTTCCTCCCTCTTCGTCCCTTCCTATCCTCTCTCCCCCTCTCTCCCCCATCTTTCCCTTTCAGCTGTTCTTACCTGTGATGGCTAAGATTAGCGCTGAGTCGTTCTATGAGTCTAAGACGGAGGAGTCGAACAGTTTGGCGATGTCGTGTCAGATCAGATCCTCCAGTAACGGGGAGGTGGAGGTGATGAGTCTGCAGACCATGATGAAGGGCTTTGGGGACATGTTTGCCTTGGACATGGGGGGCCCTGTCCTGCACTCTGGCATGCAGGTCAACGTGCAGGCCAAGCAGAACTCTTCCAAGTCCAGCACGTCAGAGAGGGCCGCAAAACCAACATGGTCTTGGGGATGTCAAACTTCAACTGGTCAGACGACAGTGATTAGAGCGACCTGATTGGTAGCATCAGTAGCATCTGTCAATCAATCACTTTAGACTGTGTCAAAACTGTGGTCTTGTAGTACACTCCCATGCATATTCATTTTCACATCACTGGTGTTATGGTACATTAGTTAATTCATTACTAATAGCTTTTTATTCCTTGACTGTTTTTTTTGTTGTTGGAACAATCCATTTTCTTTTGCCCACGTTCTTTTGAAAAACGATAAAGCATATCCTAAGATACAATACTTGTTGTAGAACAGAGATGTTCTTCTCGCTGTATGAACAGAATGGATTAGAAACCTTCCGCCTACATGGCACTCATGGATGGCATTTATGCCTAATGTACTGGATGTATAGTGCCATGCTGTGAAGAAAGAGCCATGGGAGCAAGTTGCATTGAGGAGGCGAAGCTTTTATGATGAAGTGACATTCTGCTGACATTAAGATTGGCCAATTTGTTCTGAATGTGGTGGAGTGCAGTTGCTCTGATTGAGTCTCTCACCAGGACGAGAAAGTACATGTTGTGTGTCTCGGCTGACCCAGACTCATGTCAGCAGAAGAGAGAGAAAAGGTTTCCTGATAGCCATGTTAAACTACAGACCTCCAGTGCCTTTTTCTGTATACACTGTGTTAGGAAGATTTGGATTTCAGGACCGCATACCATGGCTTATTGGTGCACTATAGGTGTTTGTGTAAAGTCTCACTTCGTGTGCTGGTTGACAGCTGCATGTTACAGATACATATAATCACGATGTTTGTGAGGAGTGCCATAGACCTTAGACTACAACACCTTGACAGGGGTAAGTTCTCATAGACAAAAGGCAACTGTATAGGACCTTTATTCCACTAACTCTGTTATTCAGTGGTAGAAGGTTAGCATTTCATTAAATTATTTATAAAGTAATAACAGTATTTCATTGGAGAGATGATATGAAATACTCTTTAGAGGGCTTCTCTAAGCTAATGACTATCTATCAGCTAAACATGTTTGCATTTGCACCAACAGTTTTGACCACAGACCAAAGTGTGTTTAACAACCCCCAAAGTGAGCCTATTGAAGCTCACCTAACAAGTGCCATCACCAAATGCCCTGTAAATTCTGCTATTTATGGACATATGGGAGCTCTTCTCTTCTAAACATATCCAATATGGAGGATATTTCTGTCTGACTCTGGCCCTGCAGGTTTCACCTCTTTCTACTTTGTTGATGTATGTTTTTGTATTCTGTTGTGTAGTTATTAAACCTAGTCACTCCGAAACACATCCATTGACATTTACATTTACATTTACGTCATTTAGCAGACGCTCTTATCCAGAGCGACTTACAGTTAGTGACATAGACAATAACCAACCAATACACTTCCTCATGTGAAAGTCAACCACTTTGTAAGGTATTTTCAAGACATCTAATTGCAATATAATCTATGCAAGCTTCAGCACCTTGGATTAGTCCAATTCCTTGGATTATTCCAATAGTGTCTCTTTAATGGTGTGCCATAACTTTATTAGACTTACTGCTTTTTGATATGAACATATTTTGCTGCAACCTCTACCGTTCCTTGTTTTTCAATAAACATTTTCTCATTAAACTTCCTGCTTTGGTTCTTTATTCTCCCTGTTTTCTTAAATTTCCTTCTTCTTCGATGAGGTTTAACGGCGGTTGGCATCCAATAAATGTTGCATTACCGCCACCAACTAGACTGGAGTATAACTCCCTTATACTGTGCTTGAAAAAGGAAAATAAATCAACAAATACCCTACCATCTAACCCTACACTAATTAAAAACCCACCACCCTACTCCACTATTTAAACCTATCTAGTCCTACCTCAGGCCAACAGCCTGAAAGGACGGTACACCACCACTCAACAAACCCTTTAACTCTGTAACTCTTACTCATACTGAAGCATATATCACTTTTTGGCCTATCCCTCTGTACTGACACAGATCTACTACTCACACGAATCCTCTCAGGATCCCTCCCCCTTGACCCATCTTCCTCAACTTTCTTCACTGCCTCAGCATACGACACCCTCTGCTCTACTCTAACCCTGGTAACCTCAACCTCCCTCTTGCACTGGACATTTCTGATCCCCAGCCCCATGGGCACCCCTACAATTAACACACACCACATCTTTCCCCAATGCTACACATTCCTTTGTCTCATGCCCTTCTGCACACTTCTCGCACCTAGGAACCTCCCACCTACACACTGCTACCACATGCCCGTAAGCTTGACACCTGTAACAATGTAATGTATTCGGCACATAAGCTCGTACGAGATAACTGAAATATCCTAACATTACTTTGTCAGGCAGAGACTTAACATCAAAACTCTAAAGAACAGACAATGACTCTTCTGTTTCACCACTCACGCCACCCTGTCTGCGTCGCACCAAACGACGAGCATCACAAACACCAGGAATCTTTCCCTTCAGTTGGTCCACTTTCACTTACCGCTACCCCAGTAATCACTCCTTTCAATGGCACCCTTTTCTTGAGAGCAATACAATTCACATCTCTTGTCCCAATTTGTTTGGCTCGAAGTCCCTGCTCCCTCTGACCAGCAGAAACACAAACAATTATCACAAGACCACTTCTGGGATACCTTCACCGATTCCACAGCACCCAACTCCTTTTTCACTCACTCTGAAACCATAAATGGATCAGCCAAAAAGCAGGGGTCCACTTTCTCCAAAAATGTCACTCTTACGGTCACAGACTCATCTTTATTCTGACCATCAGTGCAAGCCTCGGGATCCAAGGACTTCACCACACCTGCCACATCCGATAATTCGGCCTAACTCACTTCCATTTCTCATCCTGTCTTCGATCCGGCGTACGGTTCACTCTGCCTACACTTTCTACCATTCTTCTTCGACAAACCATCTCCCTTTTTTCCAAAATGTTTACCCGACTCAAGCTCACCCTCTTCCTCCGTCTCTCTCTTCGACCTCCTCTGCCTCTCTTTTTCCCTCCATTTCTCCTCCGTATATGTATATGTCTCGTTATGATAATATTGAACTTCTCCTAACATACATCTCGTTCTGGCCCTCTTAAGGGATACCATTCTCCCACTGTTATCATCCTCAACCTTTATTGTCTTCTCACATTTCCTCTTGGTCTTCCCAGTTCTGTTTACCTTGAATCTAACAACTAATTCAAAAATGTTACAATAACGTCACAACAAAGGTTTGTCAACCACAGAATTCCAAATGTGGCCAATAAAATAAGAGAAACATTTTGTGCTAGGAAAAAATTAACAAAATGTGACTGGTGTTAGAAATATACACTACCAGTCAATAGTTTGGACACACCTACTCATTCAATGGTTTTTCTTTATTTAAAAAAAAATAAATTACATTGTAGAATAATAGTGAAGACATCAAACTATGAAATAACACATATGGGATCATGTAGTAACCAAAAAAGTGTTAAACAAATCAAAATTTAGTCAAATAGTCACCCTTTGCCTTGATGACAGCTTTGCACACTCTTGACATTCTCTCTACTAAAGGACACCAATAAGAAGAAGATATTTGCTTGGGCCAAGAAACACGAGCAATGGACATTAAACCGGTGGAAATTTGTCCTTTGGTCTGGAGTCCAAATTGGAGATTTTTGGTTCCAACAGCCGTGTCTTTGTGAGACGCAGTGTGGGTGAACGGATGATCTCCGCATGTGTATTTCCCACCAGGAGGTGTTATGATGTGGGGGTGCTTTGCTGGTGACACTTAACGAGCATGGCTACCACAGCATACTGCAGCGGCGATATGCCATCCCATCTGGTTTGGGCTTAGTGGGACTATCATTTGTTTTTCAACAGGACAATGACCCAACACACCTCCAGGCTGTGTAAGGGCTATTTTACAAAGAAGGAGAGTGATGGAGTGCTGCATCAGATGACCTGGCCTCCACAATCCCCCGACCTCAACCCAATTGAGATGGTTTGGGATGAGTTGGACCGCAGAGTGAATGAAAAATGCTCAGCATATGTGGGAACTCCTTCAAGACTGTTGGAAAAGCATTCCAGGTGAAGTTGGTTGAGAGAATGCCAAGAGTGTGCAAAGCTGTCATCAAGGCAAAGGGTGGCTATTTGAAGAATATAAAATATTTTGATTTGTTTAACACTTTTTTGGTTACTACATGATTCCATATGTGTTATTTCATAGTTTTCATGTCTTCACTATTATTCTACAATGTAGAAAATAGTAAAAAATAAAGAAAAACCCTTGAACGAGTAGGTGTGTCCAAACTTTTGACTGGTACTGTAGCTTCAGATGAGGTCTGGAATAACTATGTTTTAACATGTAAGACCTGAAATCATTGTCATATTACATTAATTTATTTGCATTAGACCCATGTTCACTGTGGTCCTCAAGGCTTCAAAAAATACATATAGTCAATGGCGGGATTTCTATCATTAGCTAACTGGGCACCACTCATACTTGGCACATGAACACCAATTTGTATTGTATACGTTACACTTACTGACAATGCCTGCTTAATTGCCCCCTCGGGGATTGACAAAGTCGTATTGAATGGAGTTGAATGTGTGGTGTAGCCGCTAGCCAACAGGTTTCCAATGCTTGTCCGCCTCTATACTGTAATCAACTTGCTACAGTATACTCCCATTCCACATGGGGGCAGAGTGGTGTGAACTACTGAACTCCTCTTCCCTGCCAAAGGAATCCCAAAGGCTGAGCAGTTTCTGTTGACTTCCCTCCTTCCCCTCCTCTCATCAATTAAGATCTGTTTCCATTTGTCAACAGTATGCTTTGGATTTTATTAAACGATTTGAAGTAATTTGTGAAAAACAATATGGCTCCTGTAAATGCAATATTATGTCACTTTAATTAGGCAGTATCTGTGATGGAACTTTGGCAGTAGGGTAGGGGTGGTGTTTTTTTTATGTGTTTACTTCCAAACCATACCACTGGAGTAGACGAAAAATGCAGCTGGGGGTGAGGGACTTTAGAAGGAAGTTGCAAAGAAGTGTATCGCGCTAATTCTAAAACGGCCCTCTTTGAATGCGATCTGTTGAGATTGCCATTCAGCTCAGGCTCTGGGCTGTGATAAGATTCCGTGGGAAGCAAATAGAGAATGCGCCGATTAGTAATTAATTGAGTCATCTTCCCCTCAATTCTCCTGGTGCATCATTTCTACCACCACATAGCAGCCTCACGATCATAATGATGAAATTTGTATTTTGGCTGGCTACTTTCTGCCTGATTACACTTAATGAACAGTAAATTATTTATCATTAAAATGCATCATGAAAGAAAAGTCAGATGGGCATTGGACACATTTCAGTTTGAGTTAGACCATTAGGACCCAGTAATCTTGATTGCAGAACACAATAGCTGCAAAAACTGTATGTAATGCACTGATGTTCATAATTTTTTACTTGCACACACGAATGCTAAATGCAAGATCTGTGTTGAGTCCAAACATCAAGAATAGGCAGCACATTTCTTTATTTGAGCTGGACACATTTTATTACATGACCATTAGAGCAGTATTCCCTGGTACTAATTCAGTTTTGTCTTTTTTCTTCACGCAGCTCCTTCCCAACTGTCATATTCATTCCTGGACAGAGGAACATGTGGTCAGTATCAACACAACTACTTCCTCTTCCTTTGTGTAATTAGCCATTAATAGCCATTATGGCTCCATTGTTTATGAATATTAATGCTTTTCCAATTCCATCCCCACAGTACTTTTGGATGCAGCAGATATTTGGGGCAGGTATGTTCAAAGTCACCTTATAGACTTCTCATACTGTAGGTATGGTCAAATGAATAAACGCATCATTTTGGCATGTATGTGTTTAATTAGCATTTGTTTTCCATGTTCTCAGGAGAGGGGGCATATGGCATGCAGCTGTATGGTGACCTGTTTAAGGAAAACCACATCACTGGCAAGAGGCTGCTGCTGCTCACGGAAACAGACATGCGAGACCTGGGGGTCAGGTCCAAAGGTCACATCATGCACCTCAAGGTACCATACTACCTTTCAAACTAGCGTGAACTAGCAAGTCATTTCACAATGTGTCCATATGGTATAATTATTGAAATTGAGCTATATGCTAATACAAATTATTTTGAAGTTTGAAGGCTATGTATAACATGCTTTCCCCAACAGAGTGAAATTGAGAAGCTAACCAATGATTACATTGGGCTCTTCCACTTCCCTCCACTAATAAAGGTATTGTATTTATTTCCCCTTTAATGTTATGAAATGGTTGGCATTGTTTACTGTTACAATATGTTCAGCCTGGAAATCTCTGTTCCACAGGATGAGTGTGCAGAGGAGGAGGAGGAGGAGAGGAGGAAGATCGTTAATCTGGAGCTGGTGTTTGGGTACCACTGGAAAGCAGGGACAGGTCACTCAGTAGGTTTTCAATGGACACTGAAAATATTATATTACAAATAACCAAGATGTCTTGGTACTTTTTTAGGTATTTTGTCCCTGCATTTTCAAATGTATCTGTAAAATAATTTAGTCTCAGTTCTGGTTTGGTTCAAATGCATATAGTAATAGCTAACTTGTTGTCAGATAAGATTGAAACTTGTATGTCAAGATGGAAATGCTCCTCTTCAAGATGCTGTTTCTCTAGGTAAAGATGCCCATATGGTCCCCATCAAACTCAAGCAAACACTGACCACTGTTGCACTGAGCATGCTTTGCCTTCAAGACAAATCTTTGCAAGAGAAACAGATGAATAAATATTTCATCTAAAGCCATCCATCCCACCCACCCCCACTTGCTCATCGTCCTTTGTTAGGGTCTCAAACGCTGGAGAAAGGCTGCTTCTCCACTTGCTTTTTGAATTTCATCAAAAATAGCCCATTTAGCCAGAAGTCATTTTCTTTTTAAAAGGCAAATGTTATTTAATCTTTCAGCTGTTCATTGTCCCATCATAAATAGTCCCCTTTCAGTGAGTTCGACGGGGCTGAAACGAGCATGCTAATTGCCTCCCATTTCTTCTGACATGTGGTGCTTTAGTGGGTAGAAAACACAGCAGGGAGAAGGAAACAGGAGGCTGAGAAAATGAGAGCTAATTATTTTCCCCTGCCTGGTGTCAGGTTCTGTGTCAGCCTTGTTTTTACAAACTGGAAGGTTTTTTGCACTAAATAAAACAAACCCGCACTGCTTTTTTCCCACCTCTCTTTGCTGGCGGTGTCATGGTAGCAGCTGCACTTCTCAAAGACAAAATGAGGGCCTGCGATTGTGCGGCCACCATCTGACAACCACTGAGGGTCCCCTACTAATGAGGATATCACCACGCAGCCAAGAGAAAGGTGCTGAATTATGTATGAGTTGTCATTAGACCAGACGCACTCCGGTCTTGGGCATCATTATCAGACATTGTTTCTACTGGAGTGATTAGACCAGCATAGACCTGGGGGCCCTGGTGCGACTGGCCAGGGCCGACACGGTGCTGCTGCCTGGTGTGTCTCGGAGCCAGAGCCTTCCTCATGCTAGCTCCCCCTTTGAGCCCCGGCCAGTCCCTGGGGACGGTGCAGGAGTGGGCTGAGGCTCCTCAGACGAGTGTGTTAGTCGCACTTCTTTGATGTCTTCTTCTGTGATCCTCCACACAATAGATTGGTCCACACCGTGAACCCTGTGTGGTTAAGCAGTGACCTGTGGCTTCATGGCTGGCTTTTGGGGATGGCAAAATCATTACTGCTTTGTCAGCATGCAATATTCAGTAGGAGTATGGCGTTGGGGTTTTCTCAGATTTGTATTTCCTAGTGAGGATTTGATCCCTATGTCCCTTGTGCAGCAAAGATCGAAATACTGAGTTTATTTTCAGCTAACTGGAATAACATTAGCATTATACTGTATTTTTCACAACAAATAGCACCATGTGTCAAGATTCTGCAAACCATATCCACTACAGGAAATAATACTAGATATTCACCGTAACAACTTATGTTTACCCCTGAAGTAAAATAAATGTCTTTGCAAAGATAGGTTGTTAATATTCTCATTATTATTATTAATGTTTGACCACTTGTTATGTCATTCTTCATGCTTTGATAATTCAAGAGACATGCTATCATCTATGATTCTGAGTGTACTTCAAAATAGAGTGTGGGGAAAGCACTCAATCTCCAAACATTTGTCTTAATTGGATACTAGGTGAAAGCAGGATTAAAATATAAATGTACAACATAACTTGTGCTTCTGTCAAATTTGATCAAAATGTCATATAAATTCACATTCCAGAAATGTTCAATTCCAAGGAACTACCTCTAGGCTGTGCTGTTGGTTTAGGAAAAATGAAGTTAGGTTCTCAACGGACAGCAGTTCTATTTTCTATTTTGTTATTTGTTATTTTTTTTTTGCGTAAAGCAACATAGTTTGGGGCCAGGGCAGGGATAAATAAATATACTCTAAGACCTACAATCTCTATTTTTTAGGACTGCAAATGGAAAACGTACATGGAACTTGACGGAGATGAAGTTGCAATAACATACATCAAGGATGTGACCTTTGATGCCAACAGACAGGATGTGGATGTCCTGAAGATGACCAAGGTGTGATCATAAGCATTACGCCATGCAATGTGCTGAAAGGGCATCCGGACTTAAAATCAACAGTCACTTGTCCTTTACATTTCTTTGTTGAAGGTTTTTATGACCATTGAAGGAGCATACCCTTTTGCTAAATGTTATGACATTTAAAATCGCTCTTTGTATCTCCAGATAAATGTAATTATTCCTTGAATTTATGTCATTGCAGTGTTGAAGATGCACAGTGCTAGCTAGCATATTCATGATGATTAATTACCAATATCAAACTATTTACTTGCAGCCCCCATTTGTGATGGACAAATGGGTAGTTGGACTACAGGACAATCAGGTTGTTGACTGCATTGTTAATTATGAGGTGAGTCATTCAAAACATTGCTATAGGGAGACAGTCCTACAATGACCTAACCATTGCACGACATAGGCCTACACTACACCATCTTTAGGCTAATCATTACCAATAATAAGAATTCTACAGTAAAATGTAGGTCCACAGTGTACTGTATGGTACGCCTTCAAAAATTAAATACATTGAATTTAATTTGACATGTAGATGTGATCTGATGTTTAAAATCATCTACAGTGATTGTTGTGTCCCTACATTTGCCACTAGAATGATGTGAGATCACCAAGGTGTACGAGACATAGCCATGCAGTGATGTGGAACCCCACCAGTGGACGAGATGAGATCAAGACTGTGGAGCTGCTGATAGAAACATCCCAGTTGAACATAGAAGGGAACCCCAGAAGCAGATCAAATTCAAAAGGTCAACTTTCCTTTCTATGGTGCTTTGGATGCCGATTTCATTGACAAATGGTCTATTTAAAGCTGTGTTAAATACAGAATGCACAAATGTATGCACACTTCTATGTAGCCAACCCTACCAGTGGATGTTCTTTCTTGTTCCAGATGTGGATCCCAGATGGATGTACAACCTGAGACAGAGGCAGCTGAAGAGCCAGTCAGCAGCAGAGCAGCATGGTTCCCGGACCCCCACCGGTGGCTCAGAGACCCGCACCCTGTCTCAGTTCGTGTCTGCGTATGGAGACCAGGCCTCTTCCTACGCTGCAGCAGTGCGGAGGTCTCCCAACCGCAGCTCCCTCTCACCCTGGTGCTCCCGCAGCTCCTCCCCCACCACCGGCCTGTCCGCCATGCTCTCCCCCCTCTACCTGGGGTCAAAGGGCAGCAGCCCCTCCAGCACCACCTCAGAGAGCGCATTGGAGCATGAACACCCGCTCAGTGCTGGGGCAGTGCATGGTTACCGCAGGCACGGCAGCTACTTTAAAAACTCAATGACTGTGACAGAGGGCCACAACAGAGACACATGGTCCCATACAAGGGGCAACTTCACACAGAATAAGTCCAGCAGAACCTCACAGCAAACGGGGTGGCCTCGGTCCAATAGTTATAGTGTAGCCGCTCATAACCGGCCCGAGGGTGATACCGGGCATATCAGCGCCTGTGGAAAACCCCAGTACAGAGCAAGAGAGGGCTAAAGTCAGTGAGGGGGGGTGGATCAAAGTGGAGCGCCAGAAAAGGTTACTTCGACAGGACAATAAACAGGTCAGAGGAAGACCGAGGAGAGGGGGTAGAGATGGCCATGGTGGTCGAAGTTGAGGATAATTTGCTGTTTGAAACTGTCTGAATAGACTGGACAGCAGGTTTACTTTGAACATTATCCTTCACACTACTTCAAAAATATACATTTTCTAATTTTCTCTCCAGAGGGATCTTTCTAGGGGTCATTTGAGCTAGGGAGAATTGTGATTTAGGGAATGAACACAATTCAGTCTTTTAGGGCTGAATTCTGAATTGTACTCAAATATATTTTATATTTAGCATGTAAGCCTACATATAATTTGTAGTTGTATATGTGAAGTGTTTTATATAAGGCTATTGTAAATTGTATAGACTACATTGTTGTAATATTTGTATTTATGAGATCGAGATATTTGTGCCTTTTATTACCATATTGAAAAGTTAATGTACATATTGATTCTTAAAAGGAATAAATGTTTTTAATAGTCAATAACTATATGTAGGGTAAAAAAACAACAACAGATAAACAAATATGAAGTTCATAGTATTCTCTCATTATCCAAGGACATGACCACCACACCTGGTGGCATGGACGCGGGAGTTTTTCTATAAACCCACCCCTTTATGCACATTTCTACGCTATGATTTCGCGCCAGGGCGTAGTACTTGAAAGGTTACAAGTTGGTGGATCAGTATATTACATAATATTTAATATATTTGTTTTGAAAAATAAGTGTCTAACACCGGTATTTTGTGAAATGTTTTTTCTAATTTGTTGTGTCGCATATTTGTGTGTTCTGTTTTCCTTTTAGCTCGTATTTTAAAACAAAAGTGTATATACCTTTCAAGACACTTTCCTGGCGCGGGAAATTTCTCTGCCCCCATTTGCAAGTCCGGAGGTGTTTCTCTGTATTCATGAAAGGACTGCAGAAACGTCTACACGAGTTTCGATTGAGATTCTTTGCAGAAAACTTTCAAGAAAACAAAATGCGTCCTTCTTGCTCTAAGGTAAGGAATGTGTCTTGAAGTATAATAAATACATATTTATCTTAATAACTATATCAAAAAATTACAGGGTACTTCAAGTTCTGATTTTATAGTTAGTTGCAGAGAATGATAGCTACCTCAAATTCTGCTGTGGTAAACTTGTAGCTAGCTAACGTTGACTTCTATTTTCTTGCTCACATTTTAGTCAACCTGTTGCATACTTTCAGCAAAAGCTGCTGCAGACTGCCTGCAGTCTCATTGGAGTTGCAGTGCAACCATTGCTTTGCCTTTGCTTCAAATCAAGTAACCATGTGTGAATCTAGCCCGTTTTTTTTATATTAGGTAGCTAGTTATGTTTTTATCGTAACTATTTCAGTGGCTACAAACTAGTTATACCACTGTTTTGGCTACACAGATTCAGATTTTATCCTGACAAGTTTTGTAATTTAAAATGTCGGTTGTATCCACAATCAAAGTTGGTGAATCTTACTTGGCTACTACTGTAACGTTAGCTAGCTAGCTACTCACTGCTTTTTCTATAGCTAACTTCAATGACCTTATAAGATACATTTGTGTTAGCTAATGTACAGCTATATCACGGCTAACTTACCTTGTGGTGTCTGGAATGAATCTTGCAGTCACACCCCTACCATCATAGGTATTGCTGCTTCTCTCCCTGTCCAGGAGGGCGGCAGTGTGCAGGCAGTTTCTAAAACTAATAGTACTTACTGTGTTTATATGTCTATGGTATGAGCTTCTATCCATTGTTGTTCCTAACTCTTTCCGCTTGTCTCTCCAGCGCCAACGGGCCCCCCAGCCTCCTTCCATCAGGATGAGTTTGCGGAGCTTCCGTAACGTACCTCTGGTGCCCATGGAGACATCCTCTTCCTCCTCAGATGACAGCTGTGATAGTTTTGGCTCAGACGGTGGCTTTGCAAACACAGTAAGCCAAATTGTTACGTTTCCATCCAGTTACAATTTATGTTTTACCATATTCACTCATCTAATGAGTTAGTTGTTAATGAAGGTTGTGGTTTCACTTTGTGCAGAAAAGTAGCTTCAGAGAAGCTAAGAAGGTGGCGGAGAGAGCCAAGGTGTTTGAGGCCAGCTCGGAGGAAGAGTCTCTCACTGGGTTCGAGAATGCGTTCAGCAGTGAAATGAGTGCCATGGTGAGTTTTTTGTCTCGATATTACCAGCTTAATTTTATTACAAAATGGTGGCTACTATACACAAAAACCTTTCAGAATGTGTGCTCAGACAAATGTACTGTGTGTTTCAGAGAGTGGACTCTGACTCGGAGGAGTCAGTGGGGCCTCGGAGGAGGGGCCGTCGGTCCCAGACCCTGAAGGTGGCCATGAAGTTCCCCACAAGGAGGGCCATCCAGAAGACCACTGCAGCAGAGCCCCCTAAACAGCCCAAAGTCTCTACCAAACAGACCAAAAAAGAGTCTGAGTCCGACTCCAAGGAGGGAGACAACTTCATGGACAAGAGAGCGCTTAACATCAGGGAGAACAAAGCAATGGTACAACGGGCTCATTCGCAGGAGTCATTCTGGCAGACGCCTACTGAGTGACATTTGAGTGCTAATGTTATTTTTTCTCAATTATTTTAATTAGCTTGCAAAGCTGATGGCAGAACTCAACAAAATACCTGGCTTCCCCAGAAGAACATCCCTGCCTATGATGAATACGGTAAGTGACACAAGATGGAGGATGAGGCTGTACTATAAAACACATATCAGGAAACAGAAGATTTGACTATTGATGTGATGTCTAGCTACCATGTTTGTTTTTGGACTGTATTTGATTGGGAATGTTTTAATTTCCTCTCAAGCCTCGCCGTGCCCCCCGCCAGTCTCTGGGAGCCTCAGGACCCCACAGGAGGAACCCTGAACGCACCTCTCGGCCCCACACTCGCTCCCGCACCCTGGTGGACGGCCCCCCCAGCCCCCCTCCAGAGGAAGAGGAGGACAAGTTCAGCCTGGTGCGCAGGAGCCGCTACTACGAGGAGGTGGATGAGGCGGTGAGTGGCACACATACCCTTGTTGACCTCACTGTTTGGTTGGTGACGATGAGAGTCAAGTAAAGGTCCATTTTTAGAAGTTTCCTGATCTGTCCGTTCAACAATAGTGAATCTGAACTCCAGGAATTGTCTGTTTGGTTGATATATTTGTGAATGTGTTTATAGAAGGCGCCCCGTCGGCGCAGCTACAACGGGGTGCTGTCCATTCCTCATGTAATGCGGCCTGTGGAGGACATCTCCCAGATGGAGCTGGACCTGATCGCCAACAACGTGGGGGAGAAGGTGTACAACAGCTCCACTGTAAGTTCCCATTCTTCTACAGTGGTACTCAAACGCCTGTCTTCAAAGTTTCACATTCATACTGCCACGTTCACCAAATTCACCTCTCTGATTTGCTTGACGTAGGGATCCACTTGCCACCAGTGCCGCCAGAAGACGACCGACACCAAGACCAACTGCCGTAACCCAGAGTGTGTGGGAGTGAGGGGTCAGTTCTGTGGCCCATGTCTCCGTAACCGCTACGGAGAGGAGGTCCGAGATGCCCTTCTGGATCCTGTAAGTACTGCACTTTTCTACTCCGAGCCATCAAGAGACAGTGACACATTCTTTGACTGTTGTGTTAAGAGACTGCAGCCTTGGTTGAACTGGTCTTGGTCTGTTGCAGGAGTGGGAGTGTCCGACATGCAGAGGGATCTGCAACTGCAGCTTCTGTAGAGCCAGAGAGGGTCGCTGTGCCACTGGAGTCCTGGTCTACCTGGCTAAATACCACGGCTACAACAACGCCCATGCCTACTTAAAAAGGTCAATGCTACTACTGAAACACTTCAATCGTATTAGTACTGTGATTGCTACTGTGTTGGGAATTCAAACATGGCTCTTTTTCTCTGCAGCCTTAAGAAGGAAATGGAAGAGAGCCAGTAAACCATGGAGGGCGTAACCTGATTCTGGACCTGACTGACAACGTTCTAATGTTATATGGCTTTATATTCCATAATGCAAAACTGTTAATTCTTCTATTGCTCCTGATTCTGTATTTTTTTTTCTTACATTGTTTTAAATGTATACGTTTTAACGTCAATTACGCAATGTAATTGATATGAGTCTTCAATGTTTATGCTGTTATGATGAATTTCTTCAATGTTTATACTTGTTATGTTTGCTTGTGACGTTCTCACTTTTAACCTGCAAGTTCTGAAAAAAACAAAAGATGAAATATGTAAAGGTTGGTTGGCCTCTATGGTAATTGTATTCAAGATTCATCAATTTTTCTATAAGGAAATGTGCTTTTGACTTCAGTAAGGTTTATCTGCTGTTTTTAGTCTCAGCTGTTGGAAGTTTTTTCCCCAGTCTCACACAGTTACTCTTGACTGTTTAGTAGTCCACCATGCCCCTGCGGTGGTGAGAGTGGAGAGGACACAGTGAGCAGGGGGCCATTGCCCTCCCCCTGAGCAGAGAGGGACTGTGTGAAATACTACAGCGCCTGGTTAAATCCTTCATTAGATAACTGTCACTAATGGTGTGGAAACAATTAGCAGCCTCTAATGGGAATCTCATACCTGTAAATCAATTCTATTAAAGCACTTTCTCGCTCTGCTCTGCTTTTTCCTCCTTTCATTTTCCAGCTATGTTTTACAGTGCAAATAGTAATGTTCTCAAGTGTCACTCAAGTGGCAATGAAGTTATTGCTGGTATTTTCTGTTCAGTAGTGTGTGTGTGTGTGTGTGTGGTACTACACAGGAAATGTCTTGAGGTGAATCTTGGGTGGTTCATGGCTATTAAGCCTTTGAAAATGTACTACATTTGACCTGCAACATTTCCAGTGAGCATGCTCTCATTAACACTGACACTTACGTACCTTTTGAAATTACAGTCTACACTTGAGTGTTTGCTAGTTTGGTAGGAGACATGCTCTCTTATTACAAGAGTAGCTACCCTAATTCAGAGTGCACTGCTTCTCTTTTTGGAAAACAGTTGGAAGCTTGCCCTGCTGGGTTTACAGAAGGATACACATTTGGTCACAACAGTTTGTAGTAGTCCATTGCCTTCTGTCATTTGCAGTAGAACTTGGCTTGCATTGACATTGGAAAAAATCTTGGAGACCTTTTCAAACAAGCTGATCAGATTTGGTCTGAATAGCATCCTCGGTTTATAAAAGTAGCCGTTTTTTATCTGAAGATGCGCAAAGAAAGAACCGAGTTCTAATGAATTTAACGGCTGTTCTCCACAAATCCATACAGTGACACTGTGCTTAGGTCATCTCCCTGTTCCCTACAGAATTGACATCACACTGTTAAAAAATGTTTTTTGCTAATCTTTCTTTTTCTCCCCCAGAAACAAATCTTTCAAAATCTATTATTAGCATAATAAAGATGCACTTGAAAATACTGGTATTAAATACCAATGATCATCCACTTTGGGGTGATGAATATTTAGGGAAATAATTGTTTACGACGCGCAGGCATTGAGCTGATCTGGTAATCAGGCTATGAAATACAATATTTATTCATTAGAGCGGATTTAATGAGGCCTTGCGGCGCTAATTATGAAAACCAGTGTAGCAGTAAATGAGTAGTGCACGGTGGTGGGCTGTCGCGTACCTGTAAGGAGGGAATGGGGGTTGAAGTGCCCTGAGTGCCATGCCACACTGAGCAACACAGAGCCACAACCCTTCCTTGGGCCTGCCTGTCTGTCCAGCCCCCAGCACTACATCACACAGATGGGCCCTCAGCCCACAATCCCCTGTTCTACCGCGGCTGGAGGAATTAGAGCAGTAATGATGACAATCTTGTTACATTAATAATGGTAGTGATATTGTGCTGGTTGAACTGCATAGTTATTATCCTGCAGGTTTTCAGATTACATAGAAGGATTTTTCATGCTGGTGTTTTTCTTCTGCAGTTGTTTGATTGATTTATATTTTCATTATGGCTGCAGGGTTGCAAAATTGCTTTTACTTTCCTAGAGTGTCCCGCCGGTTTCTAGTGATTGTTGTGGAGCCAGAGGAAGAACAGCTGAATAAATTGAACACACAAGGCATGATCACAATGGAATCTGTAGGTCAAAATCAACAGATTAATTACAATGTAGAATACATCTGTCAGGCCTCCGCAATAAACCCCCTTTTCAGCTCACTGCCATGGAACGACATAACTAGATTGTCATGTCGTTCCATGTTAGGAGCTACAGTAAGGCCTGGATCATACAAGCACAAAAAGAAAGCCAGGAGAGCCCATTCAGAGGTACTAAGATGTCCTCAGTACTCTCTCTTTTCTGTGATTTCTTGTGCAGGTGGACAGAAGTTTCTAGACAATAATATTCCTTTCCCCCAGACCTCTGTGTCCTGTAGAGTGGAGAGAGTGTGCTGCTGTTGAGGAACAGCAGCGAATGACTCTGGGTGGCAGGAGGCTTATGACATGTATCTTACCTCCGACTCCAGACTGTGAGGAAACAGCAGTTTGGTCCAGGTGTCAGGGACATTATCCAAGAAAAAGGCTGCCTGCAGTTGCTTCATCTCTGAGGAAATTGCCAACTCACCCTAACAAAGGAAGGCATAAGTGCACTCGCTGCCGCCTTCAAAGAACGCGTGATAAGATTACGTTATAAATACAGACTTCTTCACAGAAGGGGGGAAACACATCATGCAGCTGAACTTGTCAATTCTGTTATTTTTGCATGCTTCCTTAAAGTTAAATTGTTGGGGAGCATTTAAGGCATATGTTAAATATCATGAATAGTTTACTTGTCTGATTATTTGGATATTTCAGATATAAGTGATACATCTAAAAACTAAATTTCTGAAGAGTAACAAGGTTGTTCATCTCACACAGCTAGGCTATATGAGTCAATGCACTACCTCTACTAAATTACATTCACCTTTGACCCGTCTCCTCTCCTCACCTAACTGCTCTGTGATCACACATGCACCACTGTAGTCAAACACAAATTATCATTGGTGGTCAGTGCTGCATGCTCCACATTCTTAACCATACATACCTGATTTTTTGCAATTTAGACAGACATAGCATGGCTTCTCACACCCTCACCAGATTTTGAATGCTTGATTTCTATCTATTCACCTCATCTGATGGAAGATACCCAATATGGTGTTCCTGAAGGGGGAGCTCCAATACAGGCAACTCAATAGACTGCCTCATCTTCTGACAGCTTCAACTTTCAGTGACTCTTCCACAGAGTTGGTGGAGAAACAGAAGTATCTTATCATTGAGGTTGTGGTAATGGTTTACCTGCAAGTACAGGAAATGGACAGATACATTTGTCTTTAGTCAATGAGAGTAGTACTTTCACAGATATGTCTCCAATCCATGTAGGCTAAGTACATACGGTAGCTAGCATAGTGCTTAATTTAGAGTACCATTTCATTGCTGTAGCTTATTGCCCCAAGAGACTGATTTAGAAGGGACTTGAGGAGACCAAGAGAGCTGAGGAGGAGGAGGAGGAGGAGGACTAGTCTGGGTTCTTTGTCCCTCACTTTGTCCCACGAGTGAGGGCTTCACACATGCAGGACCTAGAGCTGGGGACTGAGAGGGTGATGACATTGTCAGTGCGCACAGCCTTGTGAAAGTTCCCATAAATTTTGTGAGGAGCAATAGGGAGATGAGGGGAGTTCCAGCCTGCCACTATGTCCCTAGTAGTGGGAGGGGCTAATTATGATGTAGGGAAGTGCAGAGCCGTAATGTGTAAATCTAATCTTACCTTAAGTGAGAACAGGTACATTGGATTGATTGAATTGAGATCATACATTATGAAAAGGAGCATGGAAGGAGCTTACCGCCATGAGTTGGTGGTGCTCACGTGCTTCATTAATTTACTTCATTAACTCTCTCCTCCAGAGCTTACAACACACAATTCATTGCTGGTCATGAATCCAGAACGCTGGCAAAATGGACAGCAGTATCAGATACATACAAGATAATGCAATGGATACACTGACTAACACAGTCTAAACAAATCACAAACACATGCAAAATACAGAACCTCAGAGGCATTTGGTATTTATGAGTTAGGTCACTACATTTGATCAATGTCTTCACATTTGGAAAACATGTCTGAAAAACAAAGCATTCTTTACTCTAGCTAGTTAAATTAAGCATTCAAATTAAACTGCAGAAATGATATAATGATGTCTCAAATAAATCCTGTTGTGAAAGCGTCTTTATATCCACAATGCTGTGAGGACCGAAAACAAAAGCTAGAAACAATCCCAGTACTTGTCTAGGGACTGAAGTTAAGTATAAATGCTGTCTGGAATTAATATCCAGTGTAATTTACTGTATGTTTGTTCTGTGGAGGTTAAAATGGAGCAAAAGTCATTTTCCATGTTTTCAAAAGTTAAACACCTTGATAATTGGCAGAGGAGTCTACATGTTTGTGAACTATGTTGAGTCATGATGACACTACATCAATAAATTGCAGACCCTTGTTCCCACATCACAATATTTAATCATAGACATTCCCGTCAAAAGGCCCTCTTGCCTTGACCAAGAAAAAGCAGTACATTAATGAATGAATCATGTATGAACTATTGTTTATTCAACGTTGTGGACGCACAGAGCTGAAAGACACACAAAGTCAAGTCTCTCATGAGCTCTCTTGGTTTACTCGTCTGTATACACAACATCTATGGACATCTAGCGGTCCCTTTTCCCTCAGCAAGGATTTCAATGGACCATTTGTTTAATATTATAGTCGTATAGTCTTAAACCCAACAATATCAATCAGTCATGAAAGCACCTGCATGCTTCTTTGCCCTGTAATATCTACTGTCTCTATTAACCCATGGTGGTTGACTATACTGGTTTACAGCAGAGAGGAAAGTGGTGGAGGCAGGACAGCAATACAGTGTGACTTTCAGATTCATCCAGTGTGACCTTGCAGATTGACCACTAAGTCCAACAGCTGGACATACAAGTCTTACTAGTGTTGGATCTGACACTTGACTTGGAATATTGTCTAATACTGGAGAATAAGGAAAGAGTCAGACTCTAAATAAGGTGGGGTAGTAAGAGGAGCAAATACATCATATTGTCTGTCTGTAGACTTCTGCAGAGACAGTACAGTCTTCTAAAGTTTCTGCATTTCAAATTATTATTATTATTTAGAACTGCCACCCTGAAGAACATTATGTATCATCTGTTTCACCACACATGCTGAAATAATGTTTCTGTCATGGTTGTTAGCCAACTCTCAAACAATATCTCCACAAAGCTATCAGTTGACAAAAGAAACAGCGAAAACAATTGAGGTAGCCACTCTAAAGTACAGAGAAAGAAAAGAGCTCTTAGATAATTAGCACCAGAAACCACTCTATAATCTTAAGATCATTCTCACCACTTAAAATCAGCACAGATGGTTTGTGTTATTGTGGTGAAACAGAATGAACAACACTCGACTGGATCTGATCCCCTAAATATGCTTTTCCTTTAAAATGTCTTTCCTCTGTTCCTTAATATCACTGTTGATCTGACCCAGCTGGCCTAACCACTGTGTCAACATTCCACAGTTAGTCTATTGCAACGTCCAAGGATTGTTCCCAAGAACAAGCGTGAGAGATTTGTTGTCCACATAACATGT